GTGGTCTGTTTAATCTTGGGCTTTAGCGTCAGCTCCTGCATCAAGACGAACCCCGACTCTCAGTGGCACTAGTGAGAGTTTTTAGTAACAAGTACGCGGCGGCGGCGGGATCTGCCACCCCCACCGGCGCCGGGTAAAAACGTTACAATCCGGATTAACTGAGGGATAGGTCATCTGAGTTAAGTAATAATTTAGATTAGTGAAGTATAAGATAGACCTAAAAGACAAAAATAAAACTTAGAAAAAAATCGAAAAGTTAATAATGTACATCGTAGATAGGTGAAACGTAAAGTTGTCCAGATTTCCTTGACTTCGGTACTAGCCGGAGGTTAGTGTGTTGTATCCCGAAGTTCCTCGCTGGATGCCCGGCGCTGGCGTATCGTGGATGTTACCGGCGCACAAGTCACGTCTAGGTCTGGTGCTCCCTAGGCTGGGGCGCGCTTGGAATTCGCTGGGTATGCGGGTTGACAGAGGAGGATCGTTTGATCCGACAAGAGTGGTGTAATCAGCAAATTGAGTTTATTAACTAATTTCTGTAGATTACACATGTACGCTACACCTGAGGACTGATAGCTAGGGTTCCAGGGAGGGAAGGCTGTCTTGGCTCTACCTAGCCGCTATCTCGGTCAACGACTAGTCTCTCGCTCCGTCTGCATCAGACTGTTTACATTCTTTGTTTTAATAACACACCAGTCGTAAGGAATATTTCAGAGCAGGGCTCTCTTAGTTTGCTTGCTTATGTCTCGCCTCTTTTTTGTGTGGGCTTCTCTCCCTGTACCCTGTTTGTACGTGCTTTTTTAGCAGCCACACAGCTGCCTAAGAAGGAGGTCACGCGTCTGACCCCCTTGGTTATCTCGCCTGTATGCTTGCGTCCTCATGTGTCGCTACCATTCCTGTTACATTTCTATTAAAATTAAATGCTAATGAAATAACACATTAAGAGTAAATGCAAATGAAATAACATAGCGTATACAACACCTTTACCAAATGAAATAGTTCTTATACAACAATAACGCATATACAACAAGTGGTCAGCTTCACACTCCGGCGGCTTTATCCCCGGGGGAAGAGCCCCCGGTACCCATTGGATATGAGGTTGGGTGGACGACTTGGAGAAGAAAAAATTCTTGACCCTACCGGGACTCGAACTCCGACCCCCTGGTCGTTCAGCCNATTCGCTGGGTATGCGGGTTGACAGAGGAGGATCGTTTGATCCGACAAGAGTGGTGTAATCAGCAAATTGAGTTTATTAACTAATTTCTGTAGATTACACATGTACGCTACACCTGAGGACTGATAGCTAGGGTTCCAGGGAGGGAAGGCTGTCTTGGCTCTACCTAGCCGCTATCTCGGTCAACGACTAGTCTCTCGCTCCGTCTGCATCAGACTGTTTACATTCTTTGTTTTAATAACACACCAGCCGTAAGGAATATTTCAGAGCAGGGCTCTCTTAGTTTGCTTGCTTATGTCTCGCCCCTTTTTTGTGTGGGCTTCTCTCCCTGTACCCTGTTTGTACGTGCCTTTTTAGCAGCCACACAGCTGCCTAAGAAGGAGGTCACGCGTCTGACCCCCTTGGTTATCTCGCCTGTATGCTTGCGTCCTCATGTGTCGCTACCATTCCTGTTACATTTCTATTAAAATTAAATGCTAATGAAATAACACATTAAGAGTAAATGCAAATGAAATAACATAGCGTATACAACACCTTTACCAAATGAAATAGTTCTTATACAACAATAACGCATATACAACAAGTGGTCAGCTTCACACTCCGGCGGCTTTATCCCCGGGGGAAGAGCCCCCGGTACCCATTGGATATGAGGTTGGGTGGACGACTTGGAGAAGAAAAAATTCTTGACCCTACCGGGACTCGAACTCCGACCCCCTGGTCGTTCAGCCCTCAGCCATTCGCTGTACCGACTCCACTCTCCCGGCTCCTATAATGTAGGGAGTGCTGATGTAAGTAAATAAAAAAAAAACATGACTGCAGCAATTTCTTCCTCTGTCAGAAACGGCAATCCAGGGTCTCCTTCATTCAGCTCAAGCCAGTCTTGCGTGGTTTCAGTCTCTCCAGCTGCCCTCAGCACAGCCTGAAAGTCCTCTTGCGCTGATCCCTCTGGCTCTGATCCCTCTGGCTCTGATCCTTCTGGCTCTGATTTCTCTGGCTCTGATCCCTCTTGCTCTGATCCCTCTGGCTCTGATCTCTCTGGCTCTGATTCCTCTGGCTCTGATCCCTCTTGCTCCTAAATCCCGTGCTTCTTTAAATATGTAGTCAGATGTGAAGACAGCTCTTCATATTTCAATCCGGATTAAATGTAACTGGAATAGCGAGGGTTTACTGTATTAATGTGTCCCCACCCCAAATCGTTTTCTCAGTTTTACCACCAGATTTCCTTAAAGGCACAAGGTGATGCGTGCAGATGCCGAAGTTCTTGTCACGGAATATTGTTTTGCCACAACGATTGCGACACAAAAATTTCTCTTATAAATCTTACCGCTACCACCAATTTGTTGTGCTCCAATAGGGGTCAGTGACTGTACTCACCCCTTATCGGACGTCCGTGGATATCTCTTAACCTATGCTGTGGAAAACATGCTGCACTAGGGGGATAAACAAATAACTCGAGTACTCACCAACAACAATAAAGTAATATATAATGAAATAAAACACCATTACAACAAACAGCCTGTCAATACACACAGAACCTTCGATTGAACCCCTGGTTTTAAATTCCTACATTTAACTGTCCATAATACGCTAAAATAATTCAACCAGTTTTATCCTAAGAACCCATTAACCAACCAAAATCATTGAACCAGAATGATATATTGACAATCATCAGTAATCCGAACACAGGCAAGTACTCACGCTCACAAAAGAGGAAGACATCTGACTCCATCGCGTCTCCTTCCTACCACGCGACTGTTCTGAACGACTCTTAAAATCAGAGTGTTCGCGGCTCCTCTCGTCCGAACCCTTCAATATTTAACATCACGAAAAGCTGCTCGCGCGAAGCCCTAAAGTCAGCAAACTGTGCTGTGGCGAGACTTGCCTCGTGTCGTCACTTAATTTGTCAGCAATTTCTATAGACTGTACAACTGACACCGGATGGCTAAAGAATGTACGGCGTCTCAACTCTGACTTCCGGCGGGTTTACAACTTGTGGTTCACCCGACGTATTTAAATTTATAAAACTTATAATTGTTTTCTAATTAATAACACGTAAATTTGACCCCTTGTTAGGATAAAGCATACCCATTAATAACCTGGGGCACAACAATATCCCTGCAGTCAATCCTTTACGCCGCTGTAACCAAACCCAAAATTGTTCCTGAAATGTCAGTCTGTCGGGCACTTCGGCGCGGCAGTCACGTTCTGAACAGCAACACACTTCGCACGGTTTGTTCCTCTTCTGGGGTTAAAGGGTCAAGGTCACGGCTCATCGGGGTTAAGAATACTTGGAGCTCTTCCTTCACTGCACCATACGTCTCAAAGGATTTGGCGTTCAACTGAACACCGACTTACCCCTGTGTCTAGTGTTGTAGCGGGGTTGATTACATTTTGAATCATCTTTCCTGTCGGTGGCGTCTTCACTTTACCTACCCTCTCAACAGTCCCGTACATTGATTCACTCGGGACACTGAATTCCAGCCAACTTTCCTCTCTTGCATATTCTAGAGCGTAAAGGCAGACAAAATAAAGCTAGCCCTGTAACAGGCCGTGGAGGCCCATAGGGTTGTGAGACGTCGAGGCTCCCACATTTTCTACACTATCTTCTCACAGATGGCTGTGAGGTTGTCGTCAGCCGTACACGCCGGCCGCTCTTTACCACCAGGAGCATGGTACTCATTTCTGTTAGAGGCTGAGTCGACCCCAGGGCCATATTTCAGCCGGAAGGATAGGTCAGTTCACAAAATTCAGTATCTCATCGGGAATCAAACCCACGACCTTCCGGCTTGTAGTATAGTGCTTCAACCAGCTGCGCTACCAAGTGCCTTGCTATTCTGAAGCGTATCCAATTTAAATTCGTCATTGCGTCTACACCTAGGTTTTCCAAGTGCTCTTATTACACTCAGGTTTGCATATTCTGAGCGATTATCAGCTTCTCAAGGGGGACTTCTCATCCCTGTAATTACAGCCAAGCTAAGCGGATAAATCTCTCGCCTTGAGCTGTTGAGGACGGCCGGGCAGGAGCTCTGTCCTGCTCCACACAGTGAAGTTGTCCCTGAGCTTAACTACTCAGGCACTAGGCCATGAAGAGGGATAGGGGAGTGGATGATAGATCCAAGTTTTCTTGGCCTCGGCACTGGTTGGAGGTTAGTGGTCAGCTTCATGCTTCGGCCGCTTTACCACCTGGGAAAGAGCCCACTGGATAGGAGGCTGAGTGGCCTCTGAGCCGGTCTGGACGCTGTGGAGAAGAGAAAAATCTTGTCCCTACCAGAACTCGAACTCTGATATCTCTACCGTCGACCCCGTAACCAATCGCTTTACCAACTGAGCTATCCAAGATCAATCTGCTCAATGTATCGTGCATTTAGGTGTTGTTCTGCAAATACAAATGAAATTTGTGCGGAACCAACGTGACCCTCTTAGCAAAAGTAAAAACGAACATGTGTTTCCTTTAGACAGTTAAGTTTGTAAAATGAAGTGTCCATCTGCAGTTATTGGTAGATAATTAATATCTCGGTGTTATGTGGGCTATGATGCCATGTAGTCTGGTAGATAAGTGACAACGCTTGAGGTGAAACTGGTGTAATCATTTCCTGAAGATGGGCAGGATGTTCCTCGAAAAGTTGGGGCCCTATATACCAAACTGCACGGCGTCACCGTGACGTCAACATGAGGACACAAGGGAAGTTCACCCGGAGGTGTGGAGGATATGAGTGGCTGCCGGAAATAAATATATTCGGAAGAAAATATTTACTTCGCACAATATACACCAGACTGTTAACAATATTTTAACAATTGGATTTTAAGACAATGTATAACAGTTTCGTATCAATTTCACAGGATTGTATCTAAATTCAATGGTTAAACTATATACTTTGTTATTTTAGGTGTTATAACGTTTTAGAGCGCAGTGATAACTATCTGTACCACATCCTTTAACATTACAAATGCCTGTTACGTTCCTCACACAACGTACTTATGGGTTCTGTATATAATTCCAAGAACAAACAGCGATTATTTGAGAGGTAAGGAGGACTTCCTATGTAGAGTCCATATCTGTCCGTCCGTCTGTCTGTGACGTGTTATTAGCCCCTAAACCCTTCGGTTGATACTCCCACAATTCGATACGGGAGGTTTACAATGAAGTTTGTCGAACAGTTACGACTTTCAGCCATATTGGCCCCATAATAGAAGTAAACTTTTATACCCGACGCCATGAATGGACTTTTCATGTATCCTGCAAGCAGGTAGTCACATTTGTACAAACATCTTAGCGGACTTCAGACGCTGGCGTCACACCGTCGCGAGTTTTGTACTGGACAGTATTAGGCGGAGGCGCGGTGAGTTGTCTGTGAGGTAGGAACTGAATTTTTAGTGTTATTTAGATGAGCTAATTCTTAATAAAGTCGACTGAAAGTTGACAAGACAGCGCGACCATATCGAGGTGACTGACATATCACCAAGTCACATCATCACAGTCCGATACAGAACTCTACTTTTTTCATTGTTTCTTGCCCTTGTTGTTCTTGTTCACTTCTGGGTTGTCTTTGTACCAGTCCTCACTGAAAGCAAATTAAACAGAAACGATATAATTCCTGAGATTTCTCTTCGGCATTTAAATTAGTTGCAGTATTTATATTTATCATATTTCGTCGAAATCTGCAACCGCAAAAAATAATATTCAGTATTCACGTAAAATTGAAATCCTGAAATATTAAAAGAAAACGTGAAATTAACTTGATTACCTGTTTGGGGTCTCCGAGGATCGAGGGCTGGACTTCCAAAATACGGCAATCATGATCACTGTTCAGGTCATGTTCAACATCGCTTGATTACAGACTCACCAAGATGGATGTGCAATACAGTGACATATTTCAGCCACAGAGGGCCACTATCAAGTATACAATGACTCTCTAACATGTTACAATATATTGTGGACTATAGACCCGTTACTAAGCCGTGATTCTCTAAGCAGCGACCGTTGCTACGAAACGGCGTTGCAAACACTTCTACAACGATAGAAGACCTGTGTTCTGTATGTGGTGGTTAGACTAAGGGAACAAGACCAGTTCACTCAGTTCTGTAGGGAAGTTTGTGAAGAGAAGACTTGAGCCCGGAGGCAGAGGAATAGTCATTGTTGAAACCGTTACTAGGAAACGTCAAGATACAAACTGAGAACACTAGACTGTGTACTCTAGTGAACTGTGAAGTGTGGAGATAGCGATAGTGTTATAGTTATTTTTAGTTACGGCCTGTAAAATGGTCAATAAATCTATTTAACAATCCAAACCCAGTCTAAAGCCACTCAAAATTGCAAAAGTATTATATAATACACTATAGACCACAAGGGTTGTACGTACGAAGAAGTCACTACTTTAAAATCAGATATATTCCTGTTTACTTAATTCAATGTGTAAATAATTTTAAAATAATTTGAAATAATGTAAAGTGGTGAGTTGTGTCATAGGTTTTCTTCTTTCTTGCGTCCTAATTTTTTCAGTGATGAGCATGTCGTAAATGGTGTCGTGGTTATGTGCCCTCTGGTGGCACATATTGGCCACAGCTACTGTCACCAGGGCAGGTTACTCACTAAGGCAAGATAAAAAATTCTACGGGCTTAAGCAATTAAGCACCATGCCATGAAGTCGTATGGGAAATTTCTTGATCTCGGCAGAAGCTGGAGGTGGAGTGGTTAGCTTCACGCCCCTGACGCTCTGTCTCCGAGGGGAAGCCCACGCTGAGGTGACTAAAAGGATAATTACTGTGACGGACTAATCCATTCGTAGGCAACGGCTCTGTAAACACCGCCTAAAAGGCGGAAGAGCAACGAGCAGAAACGGAAGTTCATTTGCTAGGCAACGAATATCAACAAAGACATTCTCGTGACAACAGGAGGACAATGAACCCCTCGAGATAATGATGTATATTGGGGGCCACCTGGAAGTTACGAGTAGTTCAGTCCAGGAGATTTCAGTCGCGAGAGGTTCCTCTTGTGGCATTCAGTAGTAGTTTAATGTGTAAGCAGAAATTCTTTCGGTATTCGTTACAGCAGATAGAGAAGGCACTCGTAGTCCAGTACGGACTGTGAGCTGTCACAATTGAGTGTAATTGTATAATAGGTTCTAATGAATCCAAAAATCTAATCCAGAACCCATGATTATTTGTCGCGACAACCCCTCCTACGTGACACTATCTTCTTGCACCATATAAACTATATCAGTGCGGACGTTTCGGAGGAACATAGTTGAAATATGACAGTGAAACAAAGTGGACACTCACCAGCCCGGCACGTTCTCTGGCGCGTCGCATTTCTGGTCCTCCTCGTTGTAAACTTCGCCCAAGGAGCAGCCGAGCTCGCGGGGCTGGACGCCGTTCAGACACACGTAGAACTTCTGGCAGTCCTCAGGGTGCGGGAACTTGGGGTGCGCTACCGCCTGCCCGTTGCCGTCCGCTTGGGCCTCCTTCGGACACTCGAACCCGTCCTTCAGCTTGCCTGCAGAGCACACACATATCGCATCACTTCTTTGTTCTTTCTAGACGTGTCTTCCCACAGTTTCACTCGCATTCCGTTCTGTTTCTTTTTCTGCTTACACAGGACAGCTCAGTCGGTATAGTAACCGAGGTGTCCTGGTTAAAGTCCCAATAGGATTAAGAATTTTCACTTCTCCGTCTGGTCTAGACCGGCTCTGGGGCCCACTCAACCTCCTATTTAATGGGTACATGGGACTATTTCTCCGAGGGTAAAGAGGCCGGGGCCTGAAGCTGACCACTCACCTCTAACTAGTGCCGAGGTCAAGAAAACGTGGGTCTATGCATCCACTCCCCCATACGCCTTCATGGCCTAGTGCTTAATTAGTTAAGCTTTTATCTCCTGACTGTCACCGCTTCCAGTAAATGGGGTTGTTTGTAGTGCTAGATGGGACTATACTGGCAATACGAGAAATACGTGTTTTGTTTTGAATGTGCGAGTAGACTTCGCCCCGGAATCGTGAATGACTGGTGAGTCATTTGAAATCTTGACAATACACAGGTGTCCCAGGAGGAAAGTCACAATATTCCGGGAGGTTACAGTATCGGTCATTCTAAGCAAAGAAGTGTACGAGTATATGTACATGTGTCCCATTCCGAACGGTTTCCGAGATACAGCTATTTCACTGCACAGACGAGCAACACGCCATGTCCTCGCACGAGCTGCGAAGTGCATTGATGTTAATGGTGGAATTTTCGAAAACGTATTACACTAGGTGAACTGTACCAACTTTGTCACTTGAACAATAGATACCGGTAATAGAAACAGCTCGTAATATATCCTTCTTAGCAACAGTTTTGGAACTGTACAGTGAAATATCTCTACCTCGGAAACCGTTCGGAATAGAACACATGAACATATACACTTTTTTGCTTAGAATGACCGATACTGTGACCTCTCAGAATATTGTGACCTTTCCTGCAGGGACATGTTGTATAAATACAAATAAGATATTTCCAGTGCCTAATTAATTAAACGCCATTCCGTGAAAATGTACTGGGGACTGGAAGCATAATTACACGTATTCTTAACTTCGGCGTTAGATGACAGTATGGCGGTCAGTTTCACGACCTGGCCGCTTCGCCACCGGGAAGAGTCCCTGGTTCCCCCCACTGGGTATGAGGTTGTGTGGGAACCCACAGCCTTTATGCACGCTGTGGAATTGAAAATTAATTACTAAAAATGCGGGGAATGGAACCCCGAACCCTCGGCCACCCAGCCCGTCGCCATATTCGTTTCGAGGACTATTTTGTGGCTGAGTGTGGACGCCCATCTGTGAACCTGCAGGGTAAGAGAGGGCTTTGCGGACGACACGCGTCTATATGCGACAGATCGCAAGGAGGGTTTTATAGTTAGAAAACTCCAGCGCGGTCTCAGCTCAATGGAGACCTGGTGTGAGCGCTGGAATATAAAAATTAATGAAGATAAGACTCAAGGGGTCTATTTCTCTCGTGGTCGTCGACCGCCTGAGTCTTGTCTTACTCT